TTTCCTACTCACTCAGATGTTCTTGTGTCAGGAGTCATGGGATCAGAAGGCAACATAACCCAACAGAAAAAGTCCTGGATTCAGAGTCTAAGGACCTACCTAGATTTCAATCCCAGATCTATTCCTTATTGTACCTGTGTGACCCTGGCAAGGTCCTTAACCTTTTCCTGGGCCTTATTCTCCTCATCTATTGAAAGATGGATTGGAATAGCTGTCTCCTGAGATCTCTTCTAGCTCTTAAATCTATTAGGCTAAATTGGGGCATGATAAACTTAACCTATGTTAGCCTTACTTTTATGCACATATCCAGTGACTCTAATCCTTATTTGTGGTCAGTGACCCTTAGAATTGCAGGTGTAGTACAATGACAACCAAGAAAGGAAAACATAATCAGCAATGAAAATGTATATTTATATTGAGGGTGAGGGTTGGGAGAGAATGGGAGGAAAACTTTGTGGGTCCATAGAGTTAACTTGTATTATTATCATCATATTCAAAATATGGTGCTTCTAATATCTGCCACATCAACAGATACCATATCTACCAAGAGTAAATTATTATAATATGTTTGACAAATAGAACTTGACTTTTAATGCCAATTTATATTATAGCTTGAGAGCTCGAAGGGACCCTAGAAGTCATCCAATACAAACCATTTCTTTTACTAGTGAAGAAACTGAGACCCAGAGGGACTAAATTATTTATCTAATGTACATGGTAAATAAGCTCTTGGTTCCCTGCTCTTTTTCACCATATTATACTTAGTCTTTAGTCCATCTAGATCAAAGAAGACTTAAAGCAAGATTGACATTTAACCCTGTTAGAAGTAGAGGAGAAAAGGGGGTAGGAAAGGTAGAAGACAATAGGATGAAATGGAAGGAGGTTTGGTCTTGGAGTCAGACCTAGGTTGCCACTCACTGGAAGGCCTTGGACAAATCATTTAACTTCTCCACGCCTCAGTTTTCTTATCCAAAAAATGTGAATAATACTTTCCCTACCTACCTCTGAAGTTTGTGAGGAAGATATTTTTAATAACTATCAAGGACTGCATAACCACATGCTATCATTAGGTATAATAATCAGTCTGAAGTATACTATGTAATACTCTGCAAGATAAAAGTATGAAAAGAATGTGACTAATTTTAAAATAGATATGCCCAAACTTATACAACCGAGTAAGCATTGCCACCTTCAAAATAGTCATCTCACAGGGGCAGCTAGGTGGCATAGTGAATAGAGGTTTGGTCTTGGAGTCAGGAGGACCTGAGTTCAAATCCAGCCTCAGACACTTAACACTTACTAGCTGTGTGACCCTGGACAAGTCACTTAACCCCTATCACCTCACCAAAAAGCAAATAAATAAATAAATAAAGCGTCACCTCACAAGGCAGTACACATTGATCCTGATATTATTGTTTATGCTATTTTGGGGCTCCTCCAAAACCTGTAAGTTCAGGTAGCAAATCTTCATTCTTTAAGAATGGACTTGAGTTTTGGAAATAGTCCCAAATCATTCAGAATAAATAATTTGAGATGATCAAGATGAACATATTTGTTTTAATTTTTTTATAATATAATGAAATATAATATTTATTTTGTTACTTCTTTTTGTTAGCTTCTGAACTTCCACTTTCGTCTTTGTATTTTAAAAATCCTTCACTTTTTCTTTTTTTACATCAGTATCAATACCTGCCCACTGTCCTCCACAATGCTCCCCCATGCCACTGGAAAATAAAAGCATTTTAACAAATATGTATAATCAAGCAAAACAAATTCATATATTATAATAAAATAAAGCATAATAAAATAATTAGACTGATTATATTGTTTCTTCTGGTTCTACCCGGGGGCAAGGCTAGGAGCAGTCACCAAGAAGGGCACTCTGTGGCTTGGGCTTCATTACCAGTGGGATGACCTGACCTGAGTCATGGCAACCTGGAAGGGTAGGGAGGGGCCAGAAACAATTAGGGAGTGGTTTGAGGTTAGGTAACCATCAGTCAAGGGTCAGGGGCCAGAACAATGACTTGTTCCAGAATTACATTTTAGAAGTGTGACAGTACAAGCAAAATACTGCCCAAGGTTTTCCAAGAGTTCGAGGAACTAGGTGACCAAAATGATACAATTCCAGTTTGGTTTTGTATGGAGTTATTGTGCTAATGTCCTTTTGACTCCCACCACTTCTGACTGGCTATTGCCGTCCCACCTTGCTCTTCCCCCAAGCTTCCTAGGGACAACCCTCATAGGTTCTAGTATTTTCCTTAAGGGAAAATAGTTTGCATTACATAATGCCAAAAGAATTTTGTGTACTTTTGTCTGCATACTGGCATGGTGGAAAAACCATTGGATTAAGAGTCAGGACGCTTCATTTTTTTGGTCTAGAAAATAGTAATAATAGAGACCCCAATCCAACTGGGAGTATGGCAGGTGAACAAATAGTCTGGTACCATTTACTCATTAATGGATTATAGTGACAAGTTTGTTGATAAATGAGGAAAGAATCTCATTTTACTCTATATTCAGGAAAGGGAAATGTAGTGATTTGTATAAATAAAGAATACTGTTAAAACTGTAAAAAAACAAAAACAAAAACAGAAACACTTGGATTCTACAAGTGTCTACAACTCAAACACTGCTTGACCTCCAAAATTACTTGACCTATCTAAGGCTGTAAATGTAAATTGTGATAATACTTAAAATATTTACCTTACAAGGTTGTTTTGAGGCTAGTAATTTGTAAATAGTAAAGCACATATAAATTAAAATCAATTTCAGTACTATATAAATGGTTTACTATATAAACCACATTTAAAAAAATAATTCCTATATATAGTCTTATGTTCTAAACAGGTATCAGTCAATGAGACAAAGCCCATTTAGTGATTAAGGTTTAATAAAAAAAAAATTGAGGCAGAGAGTAGCCTCTTTATCTAGTCAAAAAAAAAATCAATCTGGGAGGAGAAAGTCAGACTGGTGACTCTGCATAGGCCTCCCTCACTTAAATCCAATTCACTTGCATGTCATGGCATCATCTCCCTGATGTCATGGTCCTCTTTGAGAACTCAGGATAAACAATCACAACAACAACAACAATGTTCTAAAACAGACATGGACATATTTGTAAGTGTCTAGTCACAAATCATATAAAAGTCTTTTTATTTCCTTGGAATTTGGAGATTTGCTTTTCTTCTTTCCTTATAAGATCTACGTAAGGATTGAGAACTGCATCTTTATGAGTTTTAAAGTAAACATTTATTGAGAATTTCTGTGTTTATATCACTCATGTTTATTTTGTCTATAAGTTTTTTCTTTATTAGGAACATCAATATTCACATTTCAATATACAAAGAATAGAAAAGGCAGTTGTGAAATCATGAGTTTCTATTACATGCAGATTGGTTGTTTTTGTTTTTTTTTAAACACAATACAATATCAACATTGCCCTACTTCTCTTTGTTATCTTTTGAACTTCCACTTTCTTCTTTGTATTTTAAAAATCCTTCACTTTTTCTTTTTTTCTATCACATCAGTAACAATACCTGCCTACTCTCTTCCAAAATGCTCCCCCACCCCACTGGAAAATATGTCTAGCAAAACAAATTCACACATTAACCTCGTCAGATATTATATGTCTCATTCTGTACCTGTTATTCTGTCTATCACTTATCTGCCAAGAGGCTGCAAATATTCTTCAACATCAGTCTTCTGAAACCAGGATTGGTCATTGCATTGATGAGATTCCTGAAGTCTTTCATCATGTGTTTTCCTCAATATATCCCTTTCCCTCAACCTCCAAGAGAATCATCCATTCCTTATAACAAACAATAAAAAGAGAAACAGTTCAGCAAAACTAACCAACATAGAAAAAGTATAACATTATACGCAATGTTCCATACCGGTAATCTCCACCTCTATAAGAAGTTAGGAAGATATAAAAGTACTTCCTTACAGCAAACTACTCAACAAAGAAAAACATTCAATGTTAGTACCAGCATTTGGAAAATGAAATCCTGTAACATTACAGTTTTTTTAGTATTCAAAATTTAGTACTCATCATATAGAAACAATTCCATTTATGATTTAAAAAATCCTCAAATAACTAAAGTGCACAGTGATAATGTCTATTCCAGGGGTAGGGAACCTTTGGCCTTGAGGCCACATGTGGCCCTCTAGGTCATCAAGTGTGACCTTTTGACTGAATCCAAACTTTGCAGAACAAATCCCCTGAAGAAAAAGATTTGTTCTGTAACACTTGGACTCAGTCAAAAGGCCTGACCCAAGGACCTAAAGGGCCACATGGGGCCTCAAGGCTGCAGGTTCCCCACCCCTGGACTGATCAGGAAACTAAACTTACATACCTTGTTTCTGGTCAAAAGATAAAAGTCCCTGTGTATATAGACCTTCCCTGAGTGAGATTGACTATCCAATTTGGTGATCAGTTCAGATTTGCCATGTATCCATATCTGTAATTACAGTTTCTGTTACAATTGAAGTAAACGTGTGGGTGAGAATTGCATTTGTTCTCACTATAATTGTGTCATTAGACTGTGAGCTCCTTGAGGGCTCTTTTGTCTCTATGTATTCCCAGGCTTAGCACAGTGCCTGGCACATAGTAGGCTCTTAATAAATGTTTATTGATGGACTGATTTGAAACACCATGTGGTATCACAGGATTGTGATGGTAATTATCTTACTTAATAATTTAGTGTTTAAATAGTGTTTAATAAATGCTTGTTACTTGTTGACTAATTCTGTGTTCCCAATTCTAGTCAAATATCATGTAGTTTAAATTTATTTTGTAATTTATAAGATAATAGAGCCAGACCTTTAGACAATCTCTTTGATATAAATTAGGTGCCATCACTATTTGACCAAGAGTATGTCTCATTTGGGGTTTATGTTCTTAAGAATCTATTGTGTAAAATTAAATATAGACCTGCTACTTCCCCCAAATCATCCTGTTGTTATTTTTTCCTTTTCTTTTTCTTTTTTCACTTTGTTAGCAGCATGCAAGACGACAACATAGAAGCTTCCACTTCCATATCCCAGCTTCTAAGGGAAAGCTATTTAGCTGAAACCAGGCATCAGGGAAACATCGAGAGAAGTCGGGCAGAGTCTACCCCCAATCCTTTCCATTTTGGGAGTCTTGCTGGAGCTGCTGGAGGAGGAGGGGGTCAAGATGACCTTCCAGATCTTTCTGCCTTCCTGAGTCAAGAAGAATTAGATGAAAGTGTCAATCTGGCAAGACTAGCCATCAATCAAGATTCTGTGGATAGCAAACCTGATGATTCCCAATCTAGAAAACATATTTCTTCTGATCAGGCGAAAAATTCAAGTAAATCAAGTTCTGATCCTAACTTCTACCAGTATCGCCCTGAGACTCAAGCCAACTCCAAAGAAAGCACTCAAGAGACAAAGAAACCGCAGTACAGTTCAGAAACCCAGTCTAAAAAGGTGTTCCTAAACAAGGCTGCTGATTTCATTGAAGAGCTATCTTCTCTGTTCAAAGCCCACAGCTCCAAAAGAATCAGACCGCGCGCCTGCAAAAACCACAAAAACAAGTTGGATTCTCAAAGTAAAGTCCCACAGGAAAACAGTACCAGTTTTTCTGGTCAGTCCGAAAGACGGGAAAGATCTTCTATTCCCATCCCCATTCCTCAGGACACCCAAGATAATGAAGTGAATCATGCCCTTGAACAGCAGGAGGCTGAGAGACTTCAGGAAATTGAGCGAATTACCAGTGAAACAACCAGTACCGATGTCACCCCGGATTCATCGCCTTCATCTTTGTACTATGAAGAGCCTCTGGGACAACCACCACGGTTTACTCAGAAGCTACGGAGCAGAGAAGTTCCAGAAGGAACTAGAGTGCAGTTGGACTGTATAGTAGTAGGAATTCCACCACCTCAAGTAAGGTAAAAATGTCCCACCATCTTAGCAATTCATTTCTAGCAATTCCGATGTTCCTGTTGTGACTGAGTTTTGAGTAGTTGGGTAACCAAAATGAGTTACTTCTATTGGTAAAATAGTCACAACCTGAAGCCTGTAGCTATGAGAATGTATTTACCATCAATATCCAAGCCAGTAGTATTCTTTGAATTTTAGAAGAAAAGAAGATTATATTATTTGTGGCTGATATTTTATTAGAATAAATATTGTAGCTAAGTTATAAGCCAATATAAAGGGATACTGTTACATACTTCCAAATTTTGCTTATTATGAATTACTTTTATAGTTAGGGAAATGCCAGTCAATCCTAATAAGATTAATTTGCAAAAAGATTCCTTCATTCTTTTAAACACCTACCTATAGTATACTTAGCTGATTTTATTTCATTGCCACTGATAGCTTAAAGGCGTTCCTCCTTCATTGGTGGGTTAGCACCTAACATGCCAAATAGATGAGCAGGAACTATTTTTTCTCAACTAATGGGCATTTTAAAGAATTGAAATAGTCATGGTTTCAGTTTATCTTATGTAGTATGCAATATTATTTGTGCATATGTTTGTACCTATGCATCTATATATGTACATATTATGAAATTAAAAGACATACCTGAATTTTATTTATGTTTTTAAAAAAAGATAAGAATACTGAAATAAGAGTAATATTCTCAATTTAAAAGGTAATTAATGATTAGATTTCAAATCAGAGTGTCTTCCATTTAGCAGGTGCTTAATAAATATTTCTTTTATTAAATTAAATCAGACTTAAACATACAGTCTGAACATTATTAAATGCTATGCTGTAGTACAAATATATTTTCTCCAGGGCATTTCCCAAATCTAATCTAGAAGTCCTGACAAAAAGGAAATAAGGTTAGTCTGGCTGACTTGCTCTTAATGAACTCTTGCTAGCTTATAATATATAACCCTTTATTTTTTGATTGTTTAAGAACTATCTCTAATGATCCATTTGAGAATTTTACTGGGAATCGAAATCAAGTTTAACTAGTTGGAAATTCATCAAGTCAGAAGTATGTACTTTCTTTTCTTTAAAAGAAAAATGGTGGCCATTGCCCAGCACAGTATATGAAAAACAGCAAGTACTTAAAAAGTGCTTGTTGATTTACCATAGGAATAACAACATGAAGTAGTGGATAGAAGCCTGGACTCAAATGAGAAAGTCCTGAGTTTGAGTTCTACTTTTTATACTTACTAGCTGTGTGACTTTGGGCAAGTCATTGAACCACTCAGCTTTCTCAATATCTGCCTTGTAGCATGGTTATGAAGCTCAAAGAGATAATCTATGTAAAATGCTTTACAAACCTTAAAATACTATATGAAAATCCATTATCATTCTTTTCCCTCTACCAGTCCTATGGCACCTTTCTCTCTTTTTACCACAATTGCTTAGCAATCTAGCATTCATACCCCCCAGCACCTTGTAATGTAGTTCTTTTAGGCCACATTAAATCATAGTCTGTTAATGCCAAAAAGAGATTTTTAAGATCATTGGGTCTCATTTTACCGGAAATAGACCTGGAAATTTTGAGTGACTCAAACCCAGAACTTTCGACTTAAAGTCCAGTTCTCTTTCCACTATGCCACACTTCATGTCCTTAGGGAGGCCTTAATCTCTTACCATTACTTATTAATCTCTTACCTTACTCATTTGGAATTCCAATTTCATATTACCCATTTTTAGTCTATCTTTCACAATCTGAAAATCATTCTCCCTCATAGAAAAATCAGAAGCAAAGTAGAAATTAAGTCATCCCATATTTTCCATATTCTATTTCACCCTTGAATTCCTCACTCCCTTGTCTTTCTGCAATTTTTGCCCTGCTAATTCCCAAACCCTAGTAAGGTATAACGTCCTTCAAGTTGTAAAACTATGCTGAGTGGGTCCACTACAAATTAATGCTTCTAAAGCTCAACTGAAATTTCAAGACTCTACCAGAAATCCTTTTATTGTCTTCTGATTAATTGTCTAGTTCTGCAGATATAGCTTCAAAACTTTGTCTCCTCAAGTTCCCAATTCTAGACTCATAATCTTTTCCTTCAGTTGATAATTTTCACTTCCGACTACAGTGAGATTAGTCAATCTGTGTGAGCTATCTAAAATCTGCTACTCCATCTTATCCATTCTCTCCTCCTACACTGCTGTCTCAGAAGATAATATGGCCAAGGCTAACTGTGCCCTTGTTCCCATCCCATTCTATCTCCTTTGGGACCTTGTGCCCTTAATTACCCTTGTTCTTTTTCATCTCCGTTTTCTCTCCCTCTACTGGATCTGCCTCTGCCTTGAAACATATTCAGCTATCATCCAAAGAAAAAGAAACAACTAGGCAAATTGAGCCCAGCTACCCTCTCAAGCTATTGTCCTGTTATTCACATCCCCAGATCATATCTATTTGGTTAATTTTGCCCCCACCCTGAGTTGTCTCTGGGAAATACCTGAATACAGCACACATCTAGTTCTCCACAGGTGTGGGTAAAAGAGGCCTGTCTTCTTATACAATTAGTCAAGATAATAAAAGCATTTATCAGGTAGTCCATTTGACTTCCCTGTCTGGTGAGTCCCACTTTCCCCCCAGGATCTTCCAGATTCACAACATCACTCTGTGGATTGGCTTCTAAAAGGAAACAAACTTGGGGCTGCTAGGGAGGCAAGCCCCCAACATTTCAGTGAGACCTACTTTTACCAGAGACCCACACAGGTATGTAACTTTATGGTACTGTCCTAAGAACTTAAACTCCTCTGGAAGAGAAATGCAATTGCTAGAGTGGCAACCCTCTTCTCATAAGCCCTACACCGTCAAAATAGCCCTTGTTAATGGTGGAGGGCAAAGCCCAGGTCTTTTGCTGTTTCATGTCATGTCTGAAACTCAAGCTGCGGGATTACTTGAATTATCTTTTTCTCCACAAAAAGCTGGCATTGCCTAGAACTGCCTTTTTCACTCTAGAAAGCTGGATCCTAGAACTCTTGAACTTGGTTAAGGTTGCTGAAGAGGCATCACCCAGCTGGTGCTACCCAGGAACTCTCCTCTGCAATATTCTAGGACTTGATGATATCCTCATAATGTCATTCACAAATAGGAATGTCTGAAAAATCTAACCAACTATAGGAAATCCCTCTTTTCATCTTGATTCTGCATTGGACATACTCAGTAACATAGGCTAACACCTCTGGTGAGTCAATGATCAAAGGATCATTAAACAAAATTATCTGCATTATTGAGTCAAGAAATCTTATGTGATTTTAACATACACATGGGAGATACCTTGTTAATAGAGAGCTTTTAAAGTGTCATTTTGCTCTACTGAATCAAATGCTTTCCTTATAGTCAGTAGTCACAGTTAGGTCTTACAGTCCTTTCTGGTAAAGGGTTGGCCTGCTATAGAAAATGTTTGAAAAAGCCTCCTATTCCCTTCTCCTATCTTCATTAAGTATGTCCTTGCTTTTTGTGTAAATTATTCTCATAAAAAATGTTGTAGAGATAGGAAAGCAAGCATATGAATTAATTGTTATTGGTAATAATAATAATAGTCATGATTTTCTAAAACCTGTAATCTCTTTATCAATTTCATATGTGCTGAGGCCCCCAAATTGTGTTCCTTTTAGCACAGACCTCCTCATATATACTTGGGCTTGTCCAGCTGCTTTTCCTATGGTCCTTGTTTATTTGTTTTTAATACCACTTATCTTAATATTTCCTGTATGTTGTAGATTGAAATATTAGAGCTCAGATGTGGTGGCTACACCGTCACTGGTAAATAAAACTATTGATCTTAGAAATCTTACAGCTCTTTTCTATTTTTCTGTTTGCTATTCTTCTCCCAGTTTCAGCTTGAAATGTTCACAAGGTGCTCATGCTTAATTTAGGACTCTTGTCAAGCTTTCTCTCAATTGCTTTTCCCCTTCACTGCTTCTCACAGTTTTATGTGGTAATGTTCAGAATCTTCTGCCATCCTCTTCAGAAATATTTTACAAATGAATTTATTTTCCAACCAGGGGTGTTCTTAGTCCTCTCTCTTTGCTTCTCAGAAATCAAGTGTTTCTTACATAAAATAGTTTCTAGGCCCTTTTGGCCTTTTCATTTTCTTGATTGATTTATATCAGTTGACTTCCTTAGACAATGGTGGTGATCATCTATGTTGGTGTTGAAACTATTTTTAATTGTTTCCCATATCTTCTCATTTTATTACTCTAATTTAGTATTGATTTTTATATTCACTCTAAAAAGTTAATGATTTGATTATAGAGACACAGCTGATTTGGAAATGACTCCCATAGCAGCAACTAGATGCTTCACCTCTCCTCTTTTAGCATATAGTCAATTACTTTTTTTTTTGCATTGAATATTTGGTGGTTTTTTATGCCTAGGAACTCCAAACTCTCTCCTTGAAGAAATTACCCGTGATATATGGGTATAAGGCTTATATTTAGCCAGCAATACTTTGGTTTCTTTTGGTTTTTAATCCTCAGTCTTAATTTCTGAATTTTTTTTTTACCATTTTTCTCTATGCCTACTTTTGCAATGAAGTCACCAAGTATTGAAATGTACATTAATTGAAATTGGACAGTCTAATTGAGTACTTTATGGAATTTCATCCTCTGCAATATGTATGTGAATACACTGCAATTCTCTTTATGGTAGTCTTTTTGCAAATGTTTATCATAAGTACTGCAAATCTAGATGACCAGATGTCCCATGAATGATATTCCCTGTTGCTTTGGAGTACATGATGAAATACTCTACCAGAGTCTTTATTTGCCTCTTCGTGAGAGCCTGTGAGCCATTCTTCCATTTAGCCTCAAGTTCTTTTTGTCTTCTGTTTTCCTTTACAGCAAGAATATCAATAGAACAGCAATAGGAACTGGACCTGTAACTTCATTAGTATAGGGAGTTTTTCCAGTTCAGGTCAGCCCTTCTCTGCAACTTATGGTTTTAGAGCACTAAGAAATTAGG